GAAGGAAGGAAGGAAGGAAGGAAGGAAGGAAGGAAGGAATGGGAAAATTGCAGAAGACAGTTTGAAGAAGTGGGAAGGAAGTCCTTGGGAACTTGAAACCCCGCGACAACTGAACGTGAGGAGAGGGACACAGAGAGAGAAAATATATATATTAATGAAGTTATTTCTGATTTTTTTTTCAACGGTGCGGGGAGAGCCCAGAAGAATCTTTGAGGGTGGGGGGAAAAAATCTTCCCTTTTAAACCAGATTTAAGTTGTCCGAAAAAGGGAAGCTTTTGCTGGGATTATTCAACGTCTGTTTCAAGAAGTTTGCTTCGTTTGTTTGTGTTTGTATCAGCAGTTAAATCGAACGGGGGTGGGGAGAGACGAAACGGGATTGAAGAAGCCCATCTACCCCCCAGTCAGTTTTCAAAAAGGGGGTAGGAAGCAGAAACTGGGGTTCTGTAGTCCAAAAGCCGATTTTCCTTGCTGCTGAAGGTGTATATAATTGTTTGCAAACCATTTCCACCCCCTGTGGATTCAGGGAATGCTTGTTGATTCCTTCCCTCATTCTGCACCTGAAGGTGTCTTAGTATTTGCTTTTCACCCGGGTTTGGAGGTCTGGGAGGCTCCTAGAAGTCTTCACTCATGCGAGCCTAGCCCCTTGCTTGGAAGTAAGGCTCAGCAATTGTGTGAGCCTTGGAAAAATGGTAAGAAAGGAGAAGAGCTCAGGGGATCAAGGGAGGAAGAAAGCGGAATTAAAGAACAAGAAGGGGCTGAAGACTTGGACACTGTGGACGATTTGGTTATTGTTGTGATGGTGGTTTTTGGTTGGGTGCTCGGGTCAAAGCACCGAATGAAGTTCTAAAAGAACGAGATTAATTCAGAGACTGGTAAAAGAAGGGGGGTGCTTTGCAACAAGACAACAACCACACAACACACGCACACACACACAAAGGATTTCTCTCTTCTTTGTTTGCTTTCGTTTGTTTTAGATCGATCTAGTGCCTTGGATGTAGAGAAAAAGTTAATAAAGACAGCTTTCCAGACAGTTCAGAGGCGGTAAGAGTTTATCTATTCCTAGAGGAGCAGATATATGAAAAGGGAAAGTGAATGGGTGGGTGGGGGGGTGG